AGTTTTTTATTCAGATTTCACTGTCATCAGCTTCACTAACTGTTATTTTTCTTTTATCCGAAGTGACAAAATTTCTTGACGACAGCTTTTAGAAATCCATTTCCTGATTTTTTTTTCCTAATCAGGATATAACCAACATCACATTAAGTCAGGAACTAGAAGGCGGTAGAAAATTTCGAGCTGCATTTTTAGATTATGTAAAATATATATTTTTCTGATTTTTGTTCGTTTGATCTAAATTCATTAAATGAAAGTATTAATGTTAGAAGATGGTGATATTTTATTTCAAATATATTATCTAAAGTATTATTAAAAAACTGGATAGTTTATAGTAGTTGGTCAAGTTCCAAACCTGAACGTTAATTTCATCGATGGAAACTATCGATTTAATCCAAGAACGATGGACGGAATTTTTCCCAATATAAGGAACCGGCTGGATTCTATTTGAAGGTTGAAAACACATGAAAAACAAAATAAAAAAAAAATAAAGAAATTCCTCAGTACTGATGTTTAAATTTTGAAAATATAAATAAATATAAATATAAATTAAACTTAATTTAAATATGTTAAACAAATTGATAAACAACAACACTGAGGATATAACCAGACTGCAGAAGCCAATGGAATCACTGAGCCATTGGTGATTCAATTGATGAATAAATGAACTCGCTGAATTCCATCGATGGGTTTAGGTACAGTCTGATTGTTTCGTAATTGCAAGGCACTATTTTAGGTATGTGTTCCTCCACCTGGACAAACGACTAACTTGGAATCCTCATACTAGACTGAAACGTCAAGAAACCGCTCGACGTTTCCGATTACTTCAGCACTTCACGGAGTTGAGCTATGGGGCTCCACCAAACCTTCAAATTCCTCTATCATCCAATCCTTACTGTTAGAAGGATAATCCTTATAAAGCATAATCCTTCGTAAAATCCTCAATGCTCCTTACTTTGTCACTAATAAAATTATCCACAAAGATCTTAATATTCCTTATGTTTCAGATCTGGCCCAATCCAGATACCTATCCTTCCATAATAAACTTCAGAATCATCCCAACCCTCTTGTTTCTAACCTTGCTTCCTCTTCAATTCCTGATAACCCTCCGAGGCGTCTGAAAAGAAGATGGCCCCGTGATCTCCTAATGTAGTCATATCATTAGAGTGCTACCATTGGGTAGTTACTCAGCAAGTTTATTCATGTCATTATATCTATTATGTCCAAATTTACTTGATGTATTTATGTAATACAGTTGTAAATGTCATTAAGAAATAAAAAAAAAAAAAAAAAAAGTATGTGTTCACTAACTGGCCTCAAACGTTTTACAATTTGGTATTCTTCGGTAAGAAATTTTTTCAGGATATCTTCGAACAGCAGCAGCACCGTTTCTATGTACCTCGCCATAAGTTATAAGCATGTCTGTTTGTTCTGCAAAAGTGAATACATTTATGATGTCTCCCATGATAATCATAAATTGAACTGTGTCACAGTATTCACAAACACACTAAAACACACAGAATTAGACAAACAGAAGAGCAACTACTGTCATTGCTTATCGTTCATTTGTTTATCAGGTGATTAAAACCTGTTATTTAGTATTAAACACGTTAAACTGTGTACACTCAGTCTTAATGTAGTAAATAAATAATAAATCTTTAACCTTTGATATCTGTTTAATAAATGAGTTTGAGATATATGTTAATATGAACTTTTTTGTTCATTTTGTGTTAGTGAACACATACCTAAAATAGTGCCGTGCAATTACGAAACACCCTGTATTATATCTGTCATGCGCTCTCAACGCTGAGTTTAATAACTCGTCCGTTACGCAAATATGATATTAGTTTTATAATACATTATCGTACTCTAATATAGAAAATCATATTCTGAGATACGAGATATAAACGAGAATCACTCGTGTTATTTGAGGAGTGAGATATCCCGACATTAAAGGGAAGCCGCCACCGCATAAATTTACCCAGATAAGGAAATTATTCGAATCAGCGTGAGAAAAGTATATTTAATGTAAATTCGAGGAAATGGATCTTAGTAATTTAACTATGGACTTGAAATAATCTAAAAATGAATGTGCGGTAGAAAATTTTTTTATTGAGTTTGCCGACGTTTCGAACGAAACGTGGTCATTGCGGGTCATTATCAGGGCTAAAATTAAAAAAATACAAAATTATAAAGTATAAGATTTGTACTTTTAACATTTTACTTTATCAGTTTGTATTTTTTAATTTTTAACCCTGATTATGACCCATGTGTTTTGATCGAAACGTCGGCAAACTCAGTAAAGAAATTTTTGACGACATATCCTGACCATTATTCACCTTTTTAATTTTTTTAATTGTTTATTTGATAATTTTTAACTTTATTCATTTTTTTTTTTTTCTGGGAAGTTGTCTATTTGTATTAGTTGTTTGGCAATAATAACTTTCAATATGAAAAAATTTTTCACTATAGCAGAAACCCAATTATTGGTCAAAAGGAGGATGTTGCTCTAGATGATACATTTTAGAACATGAATTAAAAATTTGACGATGGAGCACATTATTATTATTATTATTAAATTTAAGCCTTGCATCCAAAAGAATATTGGGATTGCAGTTCCGAAGATGGGAATAGATATCTCGAAACGTCAACTTACTTTTTAACATGTAAAGTTGATAATAAAAATATACTCAATTGTTACCAATTGGAAGTTATTATTGTCAAACAACTAATAACTTTATTCATATATTTAAGATCGTATATTGAAGTATTATAAATAATTTTGAATTAATATGTTATATATTTTACCGGATTATTTTTTTCGAAATTAACGAATATATACTGCGAAACTAGTCGTTTTTGGTGATTGGGAACTGCAGCAAGTATGGTTGGGTTTTCAAAATCAAATGTGTGGTTGAGGGTTATGGCGTGTTCGGCTAGTTTCGAGGCGAGCGGGTTTCGTGTGGAGATGCTGTATTTGTATTGATACATTCGTTTTTTTTTAAATACTTTTTGGTTTCTCCTATATAAGAAGAATTGCAGTTTGTGCTAAAGCATGTGATATGGTATACAATATTTGATTGTTGTAAGAGCGGAACAGGATCTTTGAGTTTGGTGTATAGATTTCTTAATTTACTGTTATTTTTGAAAACTATTTGTAGATTAGGGGAATTTGGAAGTTATAGCTTCTTTGATTTTTTGATTCCAAACACCCCATAATCCTCAACCACACATTTGATTTTGAAAACCCAACCATACTCGCCACAGTTCCCGATCACCAATAACGACTAATTTCAAGTTGTATATTTTATTTTTTATTTTGTCACTAAGCTCTGAATGGAACATTTAAAGTTATTTTTTATTAAGACTACTATGTGGCTATTTATTTTATAGAGTAGATGGTTCTTTTACATATTGATTTTTTTTTTATCTTGTAGGATTAGACTTTCGCATAAATACACTATTTCCATAATTTTACTGAATGTAGATAGTTTTCACTGCTTTTAACTAATCTAGCCTAATAGTTTAGTGTTTTTATTTATTTTTTATAGGGAAGATGAAGGTTTTTTTTTCGAAATTAAATATTGAATTTTATAGGTCCCTTGAATACCTTCAGTGCTCGAAACACGCACTGATGATGACCCACACATGTTTGGGTTGAAACGTCGGCACTAATAAAAACTTTATGACTGCGTCCTGAATATTTATCACCCATTGAATTTTATAGCTATATATATATATATCCTTTGTGCATTACTAAACCATTCATCCGATCGCCATGAAACTTTGGTAAGTTGTTCCGTACACTCCTGGGAAGGTTTCTGGCATAGTACTTCTGTCTTACGATAATTTTATATATGTAAAAAAATAAAAATATTAATGTTTTTCTGTTCAAAGCCGCAAAAAAATGTGTCGCTATAAACTGCAGCGCCAAAACGGCTTTACCGATTTTAACGAAACTTGGCTAAAATCTTCCCCTTGAAATTCTTTTAATTTATGTGTATAACATACTTTCCCGAAAACAAGCTGAAAAATGTTACGATGAATTCAATATTTTATTTGACGATAACTAAAAAAGTACACAATTTTTGATTGATAATACCCATATTTATTTGAAAGATTTCTGAATTGCTGACAAAATAGAAATAAAAAATTATCGAAATCGGATGGTTCGTTGCAGAGTTATAGAATTTTAAACATCTACTGCTTTCTCTTCAGAAAAGGCCATTTCCTTTTGCTTATACTACCGAAGCTAGGCAAGCATTTTTTTTATTTTTTTTTATTGATTAATCGAAAATTTTATAATTACCACAGTAGTTGAAATTATCATTTGAAGAAGTTATATGATTCTCCTTATGTAGATCAATACTATTATACGTTCTTTATATTAATTTTTTATTTTAGTTTTATAAGTTCTACTCAGACTGTTTCTGATGATTGTGAATGACGGCGTATTCACACAGATGATTATGAATGTTCAATTTGAATCATGAGATAAAAATCATTATAATTAGTTTAAATTGAAGCCATTTTACAGACAAATTTGCTCCCCAACTTTTTAAAAATGACAGATGTCCTTTGCTACTAATCTACTCACATGTGCTTTCTATTTTCTTTCTTTTTCATTTTGCCAGGCTAAGCCACAGCAGCGCGTGGCCGGGTAAAGCTAGTTCCAAATATAATTCAATATGTCCATACATTTACTACTCTCCTCTCCCTTCTCCCACGCATTTAAATAATAATGTTACCTAAAGATAATAATATCTTTATAAGTTCAGGTAAGTGATATTTTCCAACGAGGAAAAACTAGTGTTTATTTCATAGATTTTCTTTATAATAATGTATACTTTTTACGAATATAAAAATTGTCCTGATATCGTTTATACTTAAAATGTATAAGAGAGAAAAATAATAAGATATCCAATGCGAGAGTTCTATATAAATGAATTTCAATTAAATAATATATGTTATATTTTGTTTTAATAATATTATTTTTGTTACAGGTGGGCCGTATCGACTGTGATGACCAGGCAGAACTTGATCCCGACCACACAGCCCGAAAACCCCATGATTCTGGCCCTCATACCCTACTGGGATATGGGAAACCACGACAATGCCAAGGTATGAACCACAGCTTTTAAGACAACTTTGTATTCTTAGTTCGAAAAAAAAAAATCTTGTTCAAACTTAAACTTTTTCTCGGAATCTCATCGTAACCTACAAAATATTTTATTTACGAAAATTCTCGAAATTGGTGCGTTTTCAATCTGAAGGTCAGCAAGCTTTGTCTATTTAATCAGGTAATAAAAACTCTTTATATACTCGTTTCCTTTCCACTTGAATGGTAAAATAATTTGAGCACAAAGTAAAGAAAAAAAAAGGTGGCCTTCAAAAATATTAAGCCTTTTGAAGTGACCTCAAAAATTGTCCAAATAACGAAGTTATATAGGCCAAACGGCCCAATATTTTTGTAGGGCACATTTTTTTATCTATTTTGTGATCAAATTATCTTATAATCCGATTGCAAAGCAAATGGGTATTTGCGAGTTTTTGTACCTAATTAAATAGACAGAGTTTGCTGACCTCCAAATTAAAGGTGCCCCAATTCCAAGAGTTTTCGTAAATAAAATAGTTGTAGGTTAGAATGAGATGAAGCTATTTATGATGTTTCAGGCAGTTGTTAATAATTTGATAAAAAAAATGCTCTGTACGGACTAACAGTTTATACGAGAAATTTTTAAATTAATGTTCTTTTGGGTGATGATTTTATATACAAGTTCTGTATTTTAAAAGTTCTTAATATCACTCTCTAAAGAGAATCTCCATTTAAAAGTGTGAAATACTCATGGAATTGTCCTGAAACGTTTATTTGATTTCTGAGAGAATATAGTTACGGTATTATAACTATGGATTGTAAATTAAAATGTATTTAAATACTATTAATATAGCATTTAATAGTATTAAAATGCATTTAAATACTGTTAATATAGCATTTAATAGTATTTAAAGTCATATTCTACTTTTTCCAGCTATTTCCAAGAGAAATTAATTTTTTCCTCTTGAAATTCCATTTTACATTTATGTTAACTTTTAGATAAAATAGTCTAGTATCTGTCAGCGGTTGGTGCTTTTACCCTATTTAAAATTTCTAACGATTTCAATAAATTGTCGATCTAAAAATGACTTTTATTCATAGTTACTCAAACAAAAGACGCATTAGAATCATTTTTTTTTTTTAGCGCTTTCATTTATTAATCCTCACCTACCAATTACAACCATCGACAATCAGCAGATGTGCTAGCATAATCTTAAGAAAAGAAATGAAATTAATAAAAAAGGCATGAGAAAATCAATATTCAGCGGCATCGCTTCCATGGCTTTTACGTAATTACGTAAGTAGATCTCTCATCCATACCCTTTTCAGTTGTCTTCTGGAGTTCTCCGGCATATAGTGACCATTTCTTTAATTAGCTGGTTGGAGTGTCCATGTAATTTATTATGAAATCGTTTGTAGTAAGTTCGTATGTGTTCATTGATCGTTGGCATGTTTAAGTCAGTGTGTAAAGTGTTGTTATTCACGTATCAGGGTCCTTGGGTAATTAGTCGTAGTGTCTATGAAAAGTTTGAAGTTGTTTTATGTGTGTTGGTTTTGCAATACTATATATTCGCAGTCCATATGTCCAGAGAGATTTTAATAAATATTTAATTTATGTCTTGCTTTTAATTTACAATGTCGTCTTAATAATGATTGCAACATTTTTAGTCTGTGGTTTAATGATGCACGTTTTTGGTTTATTATTTTCAATAATCAAACATTATGACCGACCAAAAAATTCAAAAACTTAATCCCCTCTCAAAATTTGACATTTCACGTTTCAGGATACGTAGAAATCGAAAAACGAATAAAAAAGTTTTTGTCCGTCCGCCGTCCGCGCATTTTCTCCGAAACTACTGGACCGATCTTTTCAAATTTTGATATAAAATCAGAGGTCACCCGAGGATGATCCTCCTTCATCGACATTACCATCCGCCTTTTACTTTCAAAATGGTTGCCGAAAAACCTGCTTTGCTATAGACTGTAGCTCCTAAACGAATGTACCGATTTCAATTAAACTTCGCTAAAGTCATTTTATTGACGCCCTTTAAATTTATCTATATAACATACTTCAACGAAAAGAAGCTGGAAAAAAAGTTACGAGGACGGTAAAATTTAATTCCGAATAACTCAAAAAGTATACACTTTTTTGTCGATATTGTATATGTTTTTTTAAAAGTTTACGAAATTTCATAAAAAAATCGTTAAAATCGGATAATTAGTAGCAAAGATATGGTCTCCAGTTTTGTTATATCTCTACTCTAAATCTTATATCCTTTGTTTGATTTTTAAATTTTTGAATGTGTCACTGAAGTAATGCTATTTTTTTTAGCATATTACTAATGATAGAAAAAAAAGTTTAGTACAATAATTGGAATCACCTTTTATTTATTGGTTTATTATTTTCAATAATCAACCAAAAAATTCAAAAACTTATTAACCCCTTCTCAAAATTTGACGATTCACGTTCTATGCATCCTGAGAATTCCAAAAAAATGTTTTTTTCTTTGTAACTAGGAAGGTAATGTTATTTTAGATGTATAGTTGTTTGAAAATAATAAACCATTGTAATAATTTGCAGCGTTTTTATTTATATGTGGACCCCATGTCATTCTTCTGTCTAACGTCATTCTAGATATTGTACCATGTCTGTTTGTGGAATCGTTATTTTGTCTAAGTATATGTGATGTGTTGTGACTTTAATTTATTTGAGTTTTCTAAAGTTTACACCAATCTATTATTATTTTTAAGTGATGTTGTAGGTTAAGTGATGCATGTGTAGGATTTTCGTAGAATCGTGTTAAATTCATTTAAGACAAATTATAACTCTAATCTAAACCCACTTACTGCTTACTTTTCATGTAGCGGAACTTTTTTTAAGAACTTGAATAAATGCAAGTTAAACTTTTACCACAAACTTGAAACTTTATTACAACTGTATTGCGAAACTGTTAACATTTTTTTTTTTTAAAGTTTCAACCCTGCAAAATATTAATATTAAATTTGATCGTTTCCTTAGATGAGCCTGGTTTTTATCTACTTATATTTATAGACTATGAGCTACTGACCATTTAATTTAACGGGAGGACTTAAAGCTAGAAACCATTTTAAATTCTAGATACCTAGGAATCCATCTGGACAAACGTCTAACTTGGAATCCTCATACCAGACTGAAACGACAAGAAACAGCTCGACGTTTCCGACTACTTCAACACTTACTAGACAAACGCTCTAACCTTCCAATTAACTATAAAAGACTAATTTACATGACTATAATAAGGCCTATTTGGACTTACGGAGTTGAGCTATGGGGCTCCTCCAAACCTTCAAATTCCTCTCGCATCCAATCCTTACAATCCAAAATCCTTCGTAAAATCCTCAACGCTCCTTACTTTGTTACAAATAAAATCATCCATAATGACCTTAATGTTCCTTATGTATCAGATTTGGCCCAATCCAGATATCTTTCCTTCCATAATAAACTTCATAACCATCCCAACCCTCTTGTTTCTAACCTTGCTTCCTATTCAATTCCTGATAATCCTCCGAGGCGTCTGAAAAGAAGATGGCCACGTGATCTCCTAATATAGACATATTATTAGAGTGCTACCAATGGGTAGTTTCTCAACATGTGTTTCATGTCTTTTTATCCATGTGCGAATTTACCAGATGTATATCTTGTATACAGTTGTAAATATCTTATAAATAAAAAAAAAAAAAATTCTAGATAAACATCATCTGAACACACTACTTCGATCAGTCCGTTAAAAGCCGCTGCTTTCTATGGGAAAATTTAAATTAAAGAGGCTAAATTTGACGGTTCATTTAACGGAAGAACATACAGCTGAAATTTTGATACGAAGTCAAAAATGTGCCCCTAAAAGAGAATTCACCTTGACTGACGATGTACTCTGTTGCGTTTTGAAATATGTCGCCTCAAAGTCATCAAATTATGCCACTCGGATGGTAGTTGGATGAGGAAAAAATTCAAATAGTCTCTTTGGTTTTTTTTAATGTTTTTAGAGATGCTGAATCTGAATTTTATGTTCCCGAACGAAATTTCCAAATTGCGTTACGAGGATGCATGCAAAAATGTGGTGCGGTGTGCGCATCACACAACTTTCACTTACCTCCTCTCTTAGTAACAATAAGTATTTTCAGACAAAGGAGAAGTGAAAGTAAAAATTATAAATGCTGTATTGATTTATATTCCATTGTGGATATTTTTATTTGAATAAGTAACCTTACATATACAAATTTTAATGTTTATTATAGATGTAATCTATACAATTAAATATTGAATAATAGCAACAATAGCACTTATGAAAACCGCATATGTATATTTACATAATATTGTCGCATTCCTTATTATATTAAGCTCATGTAACGTATAGAAGCGTGTTCTAATCTTTCGGGTGCGCTCGTATTCCTTTAGTTCCTGAATTACAACTATTCTCAGTTACGATCTGTTATTTCTCTTGTAGTTAATTATCAAATTCTTTCAGATTTTATATATAACTATCTTTTATATTAGAGATCAATCTGAAATTGTCAATTGTTCTAAATAAAAAAAAAATTAAAGGTACTTTAGGGGAAGTTACTAACATCAATCAGAATAAAACCTACATTTTATTTAAAACTGCTTAATTTTACACTGATATGATGAATTTAATCAAAATCGTTAGAGCTGTTTTCGAGAAAATCGTAAAAATGTGTTTAATCTACGATATAAAGTGCCACCTCTATCTTTCCTATTTTGACGAAAAAATTGACATTCCAAGCATATAACAACTTTAAATATGTAATTTCACTTTCGTTTGACTTTTCTTTTTTGAGCTAGACTGTTAACACACAGAGACCATTTTGCGGGACATGGTTATTTTGACTCAGGAGACCTCAAAACATGCATTTCCGTTGAAAACTCAGATTCGAAAATTTTTCATGATCGCAATACTTTCTCTTACTATATATTTCATATATAGGTAAGTGAAAGTAAAAAATAGCGAAATTTCCGAACTTTTTTTAGTTTTTGGGACATGACTCCGAAACAATGTATTTCATCGAAATTATTTATTATTATATACAATGTTGAAGAATATGAAATTTACTGTCAATTTTATACATAGCTTTTTGATGGTTTTTTTTTGTTTTGTTTTTTTAGAATTTTTCTGGTTAGGGACATATTCTTGATATAATATCAAAATTTCAACCGTATGTTCTGCTGTTACATGAACTATAAAATTTCGCTTCATTAATTTAAATTTTTGGATATAAAGCAACGGGTTTCAACCGACTGACCAAAGTTGTGTTTTCAAATGAGGTTTATGTACAATTTAAGATGGTTGCTTGCTTTGAGTCCTATCGTTAAATGAAATTGTCGGTAGCTCCTTGTCTAACTTTATAACTATATGGAAAATAAATAAATGAATAACTTCTACAATTTTTTCCTTCTTCAAATTGTTTATTTGGCTACATAGCTTGAATTAATTGTAGACAAATTATTCCATGAATTAACTGTTATTTATTTGCGTTGCAGGCTCACATTATAGATAAATTGTCATATAAATGATAATTGAATCCATAAACATATCCATAAGATGGGGGTTCATGTAACGATGTTGCATAATAAAATTCAAATTATCCGCTATTTCTTCAGAAATGGTTAAAATTTACATAATTGCAGCTTCCTGGTTCCCTCTAGAGGGCAAAGTGTCTACTTATGCAGTCTCTCAGTGAAATCAATCAGAGGGTATGATTAAAATATTAAATCTATTTTTAGTCGTGGTTTTCAAAATTTAAATTACTCTTTCGCTATTTCTGGAATACGTTTTTTGATATAGTCTGTCATCTGTGTACAAACTCAATATTTATAAAAAATAAATTCTTTTAAGAATAACAATTTAAAAATATATTATAAATTAAAAAATAATTATTATTATATTCGAAAGTAAATTGCTCATATCTTGAAGTTAACTTGCTATAGTTTTAGGCCATTTACTCCACTCGAAATCGGTAATCTCCCGCGATGGGTGTAAATTAATTATGAAGGTATCTGTGATTTTAAATATGTCAACAGTATTGGTGTGTATTCTACTTGGTTATCTTTTAGTCCATAGTACAGACTTCTTTTTATGAAATTATTAACATCTGCCTGAAACTTCGTAAATAGCTTCAATCCAGAAGTTTTCAAACTTTTTCTATTTAATTAGGCACTAAAAACTCATAAATAGCCATTTGATTTCCACATGGGTCGTAAGATAATTTGATCACAAAATCGATAAAAAAAGAGAAAGGTGGCCTAAAAAAATATTGATCCTTTTGGCCTAAACTCGTTATTTAAAATTGGTATAGAAGTCGAGTGCATTAGAGTAGAACTCAAGACTTTTTCGAATGTTGAAATGCACTTATACACGAAATGAAATTTATTTGTCGGAAGCCATAATGTGTAATAGGGTGTATCCTAAATATTCGTAGATGTCAATTTCCCCAACAATCTACAGAGGTGTTTAAGTTCATAATTTCATTCCATTCAGACAGATAGTGTTATTTCTGTAATTCATTTATTTATTTTTTTAAGTCAACCAAAATATGTTCCTAGCTAGCTCTTTTGCGCTGCTTACTCAATCTCAGCTGATATCCATATAATGGTGGGAGATGGGAAACCGTTCTAGTTCTTTCTCTTTTGAAAGTTATTGTTCCCGCTGAATAGTTTACGAGTATATCTATTCCGTTACGGTCTTTCTAATGTATGCTATTTTGCAATGTATTCTTCCTCGCTATACTTTTCTGACCCGTTTGTTTACGTTCAATACTAATACATTAATATATTTTTTAATAATAAATTTGTTCAAGCAATATTTCGTCGGCACAATGTTAAGTATCGCATATGGATTTCTATACTTTTCAAGAGAGCAAAATAACAAATTTAATTTTCTGTAGAAATTTAGTAATTTTTTGATGTTTTAATTTAATTAAGTCTCATAAAGTGCACCAATTGTTTAAAGTTTTTTTTTGTTTTTATGAAATTATTAACATCCGTCTGAAATTTCGTAAATAGATTCATCTCATCGTAACCTACAGATATTGTATTTACAAAAATTCTCGGAATTGGGGCGTTTTCAATCTGGATGTTGGCAAACTTAATTAGGTACTAAAAACTCGTAAATACTCATTTGCTTTCCATTTGAATAGTCCCTGAAAAGCCCAGAAAAAAGGTGGCCTTCATAAATATTGAGTCATTTGGCGTGACCTACCAATTGTCAAAATAACGAGGTTATAAAGGCCAAACGGTCCAATATTTTTGTAAGCTACTTTTTTGTGATCAAATTATATTGCGATTCAAGTGAGAAGCAAATGAGTATTTACGAGTTTTTAGTACCTAATTAAATAGACAAAGTTTGCTTTACCATAAATACCCATTTGCTTTGCAATCGGCTCATAAGATAATTTTATCACAAAGTAAAGAAAAAAAGGTGGCCTACAAAAATATTGGGCCGTTTGGCCTATATAACTTTATTATTTGGACAATTTCTGCGGTCACGCCAAAAGGCTCAATATTTTTGAAGGCCACCTTTTTTTTCTTTGCTTTGTGCTCGAATTATTTTACGATTGAAGGGGAAAGCAAACGAGTATATACGAGTTTTTATTGCCTGATTAAATAGACAAAGCTTGCCGACTTTCAGATTGAAAACGCCCCAATTCCGACAATTTTCTTAAATAAAATATTTGTAGGTTGTGATAAGATGAAGTTTCAGCCGGATGTTGATAAAAAGGAGTCTGTACCATGGACTATTATTTCATTGGAGTGGTTTCAATAAGTATTAACTATAAATAAAGTTGAATATTTTAAACGAAAGTAGCGAATAATTTAAACTTGTTACTTAACAGACGAAGGAATTTTGGACTACCGCATCACTAGATTCAAGGCAGGCTATCCAACTTGTAGTTCTCTATTTTACTATGCATTTTCATTGCAGAGAATTCGTTACTTTACATACATGTAAACTAATAGTTTAAAAATTGGTTATAAAAATTGAAAAATTAAAAATGCTTATAGTTTAATGCAGTGATAATGCTGAAAAGAGGGAGACAGATTCACCGAAACGTTCAATAACTATCAAAAGTTAATTTTGATTTTTATAAAACTGACCTTAAGGCATAAAATTAAGTGTGAATAGAAACATTAATGACTACAACATTATAATTCATTAGCTTTCCATAGAAAACATAAGGAGTTTGTTGACTGTCTCTATCAGTGTTGCCCAAAATCGGTCTTGGTCTTCCACTTTGCAAGACCTAGACCAACACCGCCTATCTGTTGCAAGACCAAGACCAAGACTGGTAAAAAAAAATCGATTTTTTGAATAAAAATTGAGACAAAATAGTTACTAATACTTGACAATTTTAGTTACTATTTATAAAGAATTAGTGTAACCAATATACTATTGCATTTAACTCTTCTAATTTTTCTCCAAAAGACTAACATGGAACCCACATACCAGACTTAAAAGACAAGAGCTTAACCGACGACTTGGCCAGTTAAACAGACTACTTAACAGAAAATCTAACCTCTCAATTGAGAACAAACTATTAATATACAAGACCATACTCAAACCCATCTGGACCTACGGACTTTATCCAATCCTTCCAGTCTAAAGTCCTCCGTATAATAGTCAATGCTCCTTATTATGTTAGGAACATAACCTTACATCATGACCTTAACATCCCTTATGTCATCGACGTTATACAATCCCGATTTTCAAATTTTCATCAGAACCTAATCCACCATCCTAATCCCTTAGCACAATCCTTATCCAGTTCCAGTCATCCCTACAATCCTCCTCGAAGGTTGAAGCGGCAGTGGCCTCGAGATCTTTTGTAAAGACGTCATTGGAGTCCTGGTGATGGCCAGCTTCTCCACTCAAGTCATAGTCTTAGTCTCCACTGGATTCCCATCCCAGTGATGCGGCTGAGAGAGAAGCGCTGGGATCTCTTGGAGTCTTGCCTTGTCCTCCACACGTGGGGGAAAAGGCCCGACTCGGAGCTCCCTCGGCTGACTGTAAATATTGTAAATAAGTATGAATGTGTTTTTATTTATTTATTTTTATTTAATGTTGTATCATGATCGATTTATTCTGTTACTCCAAGTTTTATTTTATTTTGTTATAATCTTGTTTTTCTTTTACTGTATATATGGTATGTTTGTATTTCATTCATCCTAAATACTCAATGCCCTTAATTGAGGCAAAATGTATTTTTTTCTAATAAAAAAAAAAAATGTTTCTCATATCTAAAATATTACAATAATATCTCTCTAGTGATAAGCTAATAGGTAACTGCAAGACTGTTACGAGAATCTTGCGCAAGACTAATACCTAGACCAAGACTGAGTTTGCAAGACCAAGACTCGTCTCGGTCTCGCATTCGGGCAACACTAGTCTCTATTTATTCATTACTAGAAACTTGGTTCCTTTTTGTAATAACAAATAACTGTTTGTCTAATTAACATATGTTTTAATTAATTTATTTTTTCTTTTGTTTTTTTTCAGCTGACCACTGACTACAACATCGAGGCAGACCAGAGCGAGTATTACTCCTGCCGGGACTTCGCCGCCACCAGCCAGGTCTTCATGTCCTACGGAGCCAGACCCAACTCCGACGTGTTCCTCCACAACGGCTTCGTTCATATGAACAACGTCCATGACGGAGTCAGGCTGCGCCTCGGGGTCTCCAAGTCTGATTCGCTCGGTGAAGCCCGCAAGACTTTGCTCTCGGAGATCGCTGTGCCGCACTCCTCCGAGTTCCTTCTCACCCCAGGACCAGTAGATGGCAAGTTGCTGGCATTCCTTCGGGTCTTCAACATGGACAAAGGTGAGTGTATGGTTCAGTGTTGGGCAAAATTTATCTTAAATAAAAGATAATAGATAACGAATAATTTATTCGAACTTTTCAACTTTATCTGTTATCTAGATAATAAATAAATTCAAGTTATCTGTTATCTTTTTATTTGTTATTCAACTTTTTTTCAAATAAATTTCGAATAATTTGACGCTAATTTTATTTTTCTTCTATATACGAGCCAATGTGTATATTTTCAGAACCATAGTTTTTGAAAATTATCTCCATTTTAAGATTACGCCGCTGCATTGCGACATTTTTGAGTTTTTAGGATTTCTTCCATATCAGGGTTTTGGAGGTGATTTTTATGAAAATACTGTCGGATTTGAGATAGTGCCCCCCTCTCCTCCGAACCGACTTTTTGTAACTTTTCAGATTTAATTGATATGAGGGTCGAATATTATGTTTTGGAGGCCCTTTTTTATGAAAATACTGTCGGATTTGAGATAGCACCCCTCCCCCTCCCCGAACCGACTTTTTGTAACTTTTCAGATTTAATTGATATGAGGGTCGACTATTATGTTTTGAGGGGCCCTTTTTATGAAAATACTGTCGGATTTGAGATAGCGCCCTCCCCCCCCCTGAACCGACTTTTTGTAACTTTTCAGATTTAATTGATATGAGGGTCCACTAATATGTTTTAGGGGACCCTTTCTATGAAAATATTGTCGGATATAATATAGCGCCTCCCTCTCCCCCCCCCCCGAACGAATAATTATCTGTCCAAATGTCGTCGAATAAGAAATAACGAATAAAAATTTATCTATTATTCGTTATGTAGATAAAATTTCAAATAATTTATTTAAATAACGCCCAACACTGGTATGGTTAGTCTAAGAGCCAGGTCGAAATTTTGTGACTTATATGAAGAAAACTTTTATTCATACACTGTTATAACATAATAATAAGTACAGCCATGGGGGATGTCTTCCTTTACCTTGAAAAAGCATCAAGACCAAGTATATGTAGGCAACCGCCTACCGCAAGGCAGTGTTGGGCGTTATTCGAATAAATTATTTGAAATTTTATCTAGATAACGAATAATAGATAAATTTATTTTCGTTATTTCTTATTCGACGACATTTGGACAGATAATTATTCGTTATTTGTTATTTACAAATAATATGCATTGCCTATTATCTATTATTCGTTATTTAAGATAAAAATACTATTCAAATCATTTTTTTTTTTAATTTTAAGGATTTTTTCGATATTTAAGTCTATTTATATGTTTTTGAAAATGGTCTCCAGCATTTAGATATATCGATTTACAAAAGATAATCTGAAATCGATTTTAGATAACCTGAAAAGTTACAAAAAGGCGATGCCCGGTGGCGCTATCTAACATCCGACGGTATTTTCATAAAAAGAGCCCTCCCCCCCCAAAAGATAATAGTCGATCCTAATATCGATTATTCCAAAAAGTAACAAAAAGTCGATACTCGAGGGCGTTATCTCAAATCCGACAGCATTTTCATAAAAAGCGCCCTGCAAAACATAATAATCGTCCCTCATATCGATTTAATCCGAAAAGTTACAAAAAGTCTATGCCGGGGGGGGCGCTATCTCAAATCCGACAGCATTTTAATATAAATCGCTCCCCAAAACATAATAGTCGACCTTAATATCAATCAAATCAAACCTTAATACTGCAAAACATAATAATCGTCCCTCATATCGATTTAATCCGAAAAGTTATGAAAAGTCGATGCCCGGGGGGCGCCATCTCAAATACGAAAGTATTTTCATAAAAAGCGCCTCCCTTCCCCCCAAAAAAACAACATAATAGTCAACCCTCATATCGATTTAATCTGAAAAGTTACACAATGTTCATGGCGGGAGGGAGGGGGAAGAAATTAGAAAAACTCAAAAAAGTCGCAACTTAGTGGCGTGGTCTCCAAATAGTGAACAATTTAAAATAGTACGGCTCAGAAAAAATATAAATCGATCCTTTTATCTAAGTTATGAAAAAAAACTCAAAAGAGTCGCAAGGCAGTGGCGCGATCTTAAGATGGAGATGATTTTCAAAAACTGTGGATCTGAAAATATATAAATTAGCCCTTATATAGAAATTAGAAAATAAAATTAGCGTCAAATTATTCAAAATTTATTAGAAAAACTGGAATAACAAATAAAAATATAATAGATAACTTGAATTTATTTATTATCTAGATAAATTTTTTTTAAATCTATTTATTGAATAATAATACAATCAGCCACTGCTGGAGGGCTAAAAGTTCTCATTTAGAACGAAACTAAATATTAAAAAAGTGGTGAGAAAATAAGTTTGTTTCTGAAACTGGCCTTATTTTTTCAAGGAATGTAATGAAACTTGTATTTCTTGAGCATTCTTAAAAAATATCAAGCTTTTTAACCATTTTATTCAAATGAAAATTAAAAATAAATTTATTTTATCGTACCATTATTGCAAACAAAAAGTTTTATAATAAAGCTTTTATAATTTTTCCTCTCCCCTTCTTCCAAATCATACATCATTTGATCTCTTCACAACAAACCTCAATGAATCTTTTTTTCTTCAAAAAACAGGCCTTGAAGTTTACTTCTTTCCAAGAGAAAGGACCTATTCAAGTTTCAATGTTTTTTCATTGCTAGTGAAATAATCTATGATTTTTGGAAAAATGTTGCTCAAATAAAGAATTTATATTAATTTGTATTTTTTTAAATATTGGTTTTGATATTACTATTGGAATAGAAATCCCATTTCCTGAAAAAATTTCAATTATGATTAGTGTTCACTTCGGAAAAAACAACTCATGTAGTAGGTTTACCAATGATTGACAATTAATTATCTTAATTTTATTTTTGTTTATTTATTTATTTTTTAATGCAGATCAACTTGAAGATTGGAAGAAGAATCCAAGTAGGTTTGACCTGGTTCACCCTCAGTGCGCAGTCGACACAACCATCGAGAAACGGATGTGGCAATTTTTGGGCACCAGGATAAAACTACTCTTAGCTGCTTATCCTACAACACTTGAAGTAAGTTTTAAATATGTTGATTATTATTTTATTTAATTATTTATGAATATTTGAATAGATTATTGCAGAAACAACACATGTTACATTTTCATTTGATAAAACCTTCTTATAATAGTGAAATTTTAATACTTGTTATTGGTATTAAAAATTTATGAGATAAGATATAAAAACATTTTTAGTAATAGATAATAAGTATTTTGATAAGAGTAATTTAGCACAAATGATTTTATTTTTATATTAAAATAATGCTTGTTCCCTTGAAAATGGCCTAAGAGCTGAAACATTGAATGGAAAGTAAAAATAAAGGATGACTATTAGAATCTTATGTGTATTTTTATCATTACAAATAAAGTGAAGTAACCAACAATATTAAAATATATACAGAACGTCCCATAAGCAGAGAGAAAATTTTATTGGAGTGATAAAAAAAAAGAAGGAAATCCAAGTTTTGTGTTTTTTTAATTAAGTCATCTTTTTTGTTGAATAGAAAGTGATAACTAAAGACCGGATTTTCGTGCAGTAAAATTCGGAAAACGTGCAGTAAAAAACTCAAAATGTGCAAAATCGTGCAGTAAAAATCCAAAATACCTAAAATTGTGTAATTAACACCAAAAAAACGTGTAAAATCATCAATATTATTTAATTTATAGCATTAATACATCAAAATCTTATCAGATCTTCAGTTAACTTAGAGTTTTTTAGAAAAAAAAAAAATTAAAATGAAATTCCAGATTATAATCAACTATTGTAATAACAATTATCATCAAATAATGCAGAACATTGAAGGTTTGAAGGAATAAATGAAAGCAGGAATTATAGGTACCTATATATTATATAGACCAGACCAATTTTAGATATTTAACTTTTATTAAAAATAATAATGAAAATTTTATTTTTTAATATGGTTAAAATTTCCAATATCATACATTCCAAAACGCTTTTGTTAAAATTTAAAGAATTTAAAAAAAAATTGAAATGGACTGTAATGTTTGAGATTTTCAAGTGTTCAAATATTAGTGTTGAAGCTGTTTTTCTATATCACTAAAAATATGTTTTTGGGGGTTACATTCTCAAACTCCTCAAAAAACAAAATAAAAACTTTTAATTCTTTGATAGGAATATTTTTTTCATACATGTTCCACAATGAGCATCTATCACTGATTTCCTATCACCTGATTTATTTTTCATAAGGTGTATAGAGCTTTCTCATCAAATTCTTTGTTCTCACATTTCAAATCATGATATTTTTATATCCATATTTTATTGTTTGACGAGAGACTAGATTTTACTTTCAGCATTATCAATTTTTTTTTTATATAATGGAATTTCTACAGAATCAATTTAAAGCCAGAAGAGATACTGAAGGGTTAAACAGTGAGGATTCAAGTCAAGTCAAGAACTATAAATGTCTTACTAACAAAGCACCTAATTCTAGAAAAGCAGCTTTTTATTATCCAATACTTTAGGCAAGTTCTATTCCAAGAATAGATCTCACTTGTGTTTACATCTTCCTTTTGTAATGAATACGATTTTTGCTTCGGACAGAATTATTTGCCTTCCTCATATTTTTCTATTTTTAATAATGAATTTAATTTGAACAATATAGTAAAATAAAAAGTAATAGTAAGAAAATAGTAAAATAAATATGACCACACTCACTTATACATTTGTGTTTATAAATTGTCTAATTTAGCACAAAAGTATAAAAATGTGAAATTTAATGGAACAAAAATCAAAATTGTGCAATTTAAGCCGAAAATGGCAGAACGTGCAATATAAAATTTAAATATGTTATTCTACAGGTCCTGAAACGGATAGATATTCATGTCTGAAGTTTTTACATGCAAGCGAATAAAAAGTGCAATAACATGGAAATCCGGTCTCTAGTGATAACTAAAAAAATATTTAATTTAAAATCTATCTCCCTATTATATAAAAAAGTTCTTAGTGTATGTCATATTTTATTTTATTTTAATGTTAGGACTGTAGGAGGTTACAGGAGCTCTCCTATTAGCTCTATAATTAACTCAAATTATACAGCTGTTCATTTAATTACAGATGTGTTGAGCTCCTGTTACTTCACGTTCTCCTAATACAACTTAGAGATTTACACTCTGGTGTCTTCGTTACAGTATTGAGCTCCTGTTATTGAATACTGTCCTAATATAAAATAAAGATTTTTGTCTAAAAATTTGTAAAGAAAATGGTATTTATTGATTCATCTGAAGGAGGTAGTTTGATTTTACCTAGGTGACAGCAGTTATTTTTCGATCCAGACATTTCTCCTTGACCACAATATTTTAAATATTATATTATTTATATTATAACAATATTCTGACCGATCCGGTTGACATATTGAATAAGTTTAAGGACCACTTTGATAATATTTTAAATACGGGAAATTATGATCTGTGTCCTCCTTCTGAGTACCAGAGTGCTGAACCGTTAATAGAAGGACCAAGTAAAGAGGAAGTTGAAGTAGCATCGGAAAATTAAAATCATATAAAGCAGCGGGAATCAATAATATTCCTACTGAACTAATTAAGGCATGCGGGGAAGCTGGAGTTTCTAAAATATATCGGTTGGTAAAAAGATCTGGGTGAACGAGAAATTACCTGAAGAACGGAAAGAATCTATTCTTATTCCGATTCACAAAAAGGGTCCGAGGACAGATTGTAATAACTATCGAGGAATTTCACTCCTTGCGGTATGTTATAAAATATTCACTTTAATCTTAACCAGTCGAATCACGGAATACGCCAAGGAAATTATCGGAGACTACCAATGCGGATTTAGACGGAATCGTTCAACTATTGATCAAATATTTTCTTTACGGCAAATATTAGAGAAAAAATTGGAGTATAACGGTATTGTTCACCAGCTGTATATAGATCTTAAAAAGGCTTACGATTCTATTGACCGCCAGAAACTGTATAATATTCTAATCGAGCAGGGGATTCCAAAAAAACTAGTAAATCTAGTCAGGATGTGCTTGACGGAGACACTCAATAAAGTTAGAATCGGTAATAATTTGTCCGAAAAATTTAAGGTTCGTTCGGGCTTAAAACAGGGGGATTCCCTTTCGCCTGTCCTGTTCAATTTGGCATTAGAACATGCCATTAGGGAGCTAATGCGAACCGAGAAAGGGTTGGATCTGGGTGGGACAACATCCATGCTGGGCTATGCTGATGATCTGGTACTGTTAAGCGAAGACGTTGAAACCATAAAACTAAATACGACAACGTTAATGAAAGCCGGGAAAGAACTAGGACTCGAAATAAACGTGGATAAAACAAAATATATGGTTAGCTGCAAAAAATGGCGATACTACTGGTGATATCGATATAGATGGTAATATGTTTGAACAGGTAGATAAATTTAGGTATCTAGAACTAGATAACTAGAAAAAACGAAATTGAAGAAGAGATTAAGGTTAGACTGAAGGCAGGAAATGCTTGTTATTTTCCTGTGACAAAACTACTTAGTTCGCGCCTCTTGTCCCGGAACTTAAAAATTAGAATCTATAAAACAATTATCTTGCCTACAGTTCTTTATGGATGCGAAACTTGGCCGCTTACCTTAAGGGATGAGCAGCGTCTTAAGGTTTTTTAAAATAAAGTATTGCGTAGAATATTCGGTTCGGACCGAAGAAGGATGAGTTAACCGGAGAGTTCAGACGGTTACACAATCCCGAATTGCGTGAACTGTATCCGGGTAATATAATTGAGGTAATTTCATCGCGGCGAATCAAATGGGCTTGTAAAGTTGTTGGACTTAGTAACGAGAGAATTCCTAAAAGGTTAATATTTGCTGTGCCGAATGGTAAGCTTCCGAGGGGTAGACCGAAGCGAAGGTGGGAAGATTGCATTAAAGCCGATCTGAAGGGATTTGGTTTGGACAGCGAACGGTAGAGGGAGGTGTGTAACAAGCGATTGGTGGTGTCAGCATCGACCTTCGGGTTCGCTAAGCCTTATTATTATTATTATTTATATTATATTGTGATATAATTATAATTTTTTTGAAATAGAAAAGCAAGCACTATATAACAAACAATGAAAATATTATAAATAACAGGTTTAAATTATTATTGGGCTTATAAGAAGATGTACAAGTTGAATATATAGTATGGTTAGAAATTAGCAATGAGAATAATTATAATTATATAATAATATAAATTGACAATAAGGTGCAAGGTATAATATAGATTTTTAAAGAAATTAAAATTTTGTCCGAACTGTGCCATCGTTCTGTTTATTTTATGTTGTTAAAAAATAATACAATACGAGTTAGAAAATACATGTAAATTGAAGTTATACAATCTGAGCAACGAGTAGTACAATTAAAGCAACAGTTATATAATTTGTAAAATGATGATTTGTCTGATGTTAAGCGGACAGAGGGTGCCCCCCTAGATATTTTTAAATTTCTTATTTTTAGAAATAAAAAGTGTATTAAGGCAATTATATTTATCATAATACAATCCTAATCGTTTAAAAACAAGAAATAAAAGCTTTGCAACAGTTAATTTTAGTCATTTTTCCTGAAAACACGGACACTTTTAGGAGATAAGATAAAAAATCACTTAATTTTTTTACAAAACTTTAGCTGAATCCTAAGTTTTTGTCTAAACAATCTCAACTTCATTAATATGGACTTATAGGTTTTTAAATGAGGAAGTTTTTCTAAAAATAAGGTATCTTTAGTATAGTTGTATGATGGCAAAAAAAAAAAAAAAATCATGAGTAATTTATGATTTTTTTAAAAACATAACTTAGATTAGTTTAGCCGTTCAAAAGTCCTCTTTAAATGGTTTTACCAATGATAAATTCTATTATTATTTGAATTAAATTTTATCTAGGTTATAGTGAAGCAATTTTTACTTACTTAAATTAAATATTTATTTAGTTATCGCTTCATATTCAACAAAAAATATGACACTTAAAAAAAACACAAAACTTGGATTTCTTAATTTTTTTTTGCTGAAAATTGGGCCATTGCTTACATGAACTCTTTTATAGCTCTTGAGGTCTGGTATCAATCCTACAAAAATTTCTCTCTACTTACGGGACTCCGTGTACATTGATAAACTTCTTTTGTTGAGAACACATCGCACATAATATTTCCAAAAAGCCATTTTTTTTTGTTTCTATACTAAAACTTTGGTTTTTATTTTAGGAGGATGAAAAATTACTGCTTACTAAGAAGGAGATGGCACCTTGCTTAAAATTAGCAGTTTTGCTGCGTCTCAGCGAAAAGAGAATACTTACTAAAGTTTTAGCTTACGTCGAAGACCATCTTAAACAATAAGATTTTGTTCTGCTTAATTAACTATTTTATGGCTTGTGCCAGCGATTCTTTGTGTTGATTGAAGAATTTTTGCTAATAGCTTTAAATTATTTTATTTTTATTGCAAGTTATTAATCAAATATATTTTTATTATACTTTTATTTGCGAAATGTCTTTTAAATAAAATATGTGTACGGAATGATAGGAATATTTAATGCTTCAGCCAAATTAGTAGAAATATTTATTTTTCTATGTGTGAAGTCCATATTTTTCTTTTAAAAAAGTATTGTTTAATGGAACTATGATACCGGTATATGTATTTCTTACTTACCTCAAGATTTGTTTAATTATATATTTTGTGTTTATTTTTTTATTGATGTAATCAGTGTTTATTAACAATTATTAATTTTATAAGTGGTTTTGAAGGTGGTTTTCTTAATACGGGATAGGGAAAAATATATTTTTCCTAGAATAGACTGTTTTTTTTTTTTTTTTTTTGTTATTCTAATTATTTTGAAAATAGAAATAGTCTATTCAATGATATTAATGTTTTTCTAATTGCATTTAATTGTTGTTTTGCTTTCTATGTAATTGTTTTACTGAAACTATTTTAAGTTATTTATTAGTTGCATAGAATTATAATCTATTAAATATTCAGCCCGACCTGTAATTTTCCCTTTTTCAACTTCTCTGAGTAACTTCCTTTCAAAACATGAGAAATCTCTTCAATATAATTCTTTAAAAGTTTTGATATATGTTTATAATGATGCAATATTATTATATATACTGAGCTGAACATAGTAATTTGTAACAAGACTCAAGTAATTTCTGACAGTACTTTTATTTCCACAGGGTTATGGAGAAACCTACCAACCCCTTAAAATATCAATTTGAGATACATGGAAATGAAAAGTTACTAATAAAATTAAATTCTTCTCAAAGAAAAAAAAAAAAAAATGTATTTATAATTTGTGTTCATTATACAGTCTTAGTAGTCCAAACCAATTTCTATAGAGAGATGTTTGGAAAAAAATACTTTAAAATATAAGATTAAAACTCATATATCAATCTTTTAAAATAGTTTATTTTCCTTGCTGAATATTATATTTAACCTTAAATTGCAAACTATATTGTATTTCCGCTCCAAGAGATTGGATTATTTGTATTCTAGTGGAGAAGAGATATCAGCTTATGTCAGCTTTCAAAAATCATGTATTTCACTATTATATTTAATTTGTATATAATTAAAAAAGAAAAAAAGCATGAATCGGTAGATGAAATTGGAAAGTAATGATTATCAATGATAGTATTTTTTTATAGAATGTTACTATGAAATGCTCAATTATTTTTATCTGTACAATTATTTATAAATATTGTATATTTTCTTAATTGAATTATCTATATTGATTGTATCATATCACTACTAATTGCATTTTAGTTTTTGGATTGAATATAAATGTAAACATTATCATTATATCTATACTAAATGTATTTGAATTATTATAAAAAAACAAAATAAATATATCTATTCTTGTGTTGCATTTGTTATTTTTTTTTTTTATTCCTTCATTAAGTGGTATAGTGTGTTAAGTAGATAATTTCATAATGGTGGAGAAATAGCTGTCAGACTGTTATTATCCGTGGTACAGACACCTTTTCATCAAATTATTAATATCCTTTAAAACTTCATAAATGGCTTCAACTTATACTAAACTACAATTTTGTTATATATAAAAATTCACGGAAATGGGGAGTTTTCAATGGAAAGATTGGTAAACTTTGTCTATTTAATGAGACTTTGTCTATGCTTTTCACTTGATTCATGAGATAATTTAATAATAATACTTTATTTATTCTGGGACGAGTAGAATAATACATAAGGACATATATATGGGCTAAGGAGCCTCAGAGAAACATAAATAAAAATACAGAGTAATTAAACAGTCATAATAAAAAAATTGAAAAAAGGATGAAGTAAAAATAATGAAGAAAAAACTAATAATTTATATACATATTTACATTAGTATCTATTTACAGTTTCATGGGGACTGAATGGATAAGAAATGGTTTAAAGGCAGGAAAGGTATTAGATTGATGAATGTGAGGAGGAATGGAGTTCCAAAGGGATGAGGATCGGATAATGAATGATCTGTCAAAAATAGTGGTTCGGTGGGACCTTATGTATAAATCAGAAGACCGGGTATGAAGGACAGTGGGATTGGATGACTTGAAAGAAAAAGGATGCCAGAAAATGTTTACAACAGTAGGAAGATTAAAGCCTCTTCAACTCTGCGTAAAAATGGGAAACATAGGCGTCCCTTGGGATTCCAAAGATGAATAGTACAAAGCAATTTATCAAATGTTTTAGTTTCGCCTCGAGATCTCCAGAGAGGCATTTACCGAACAGCAATAGTCAAAATGGGGAAAAATTAAGGAAGTGACCAGGAGCCTACGGGTTTCAAATGGAAATAAGTGACGAGAATAATTTAGACATTTTAGAGTGGAAATGGTACTGCAGGAGATATTGGATACATGGTTTTCCAGAAAAACGTTTGATCGAAGCTTATTCCAAGGTTTTTGATAATAGAGTAAAATTTGATGGGATTATCATGCAGGAACAGAGTTGGAATATTAGGAACAGTTTTAAGGAGGTGATTGGAGCCTATTAAGATTGCCTTCGTCTTTTCCGCATTCAAATTCAACATGTTAGCTGTCGTCCAGTCACAAATTCTATCCAAGTCTTCTTGATGTTTTTCTGTGGCAGATAATAGGTCGGAGGGCGGGAAGAACAGGTATATTTGGAAATCATCTGCATAGATATGGTATTGGAAGTGATGGATCATGAGGGAAAGGTCATTAATGTAAATAGCAAACAGAGTAGGAGATAAAGAGGAAACACCACAGGAGAGGGGAAGGGTAGATAAAGGTTGACCTGGGAGTACTACATACTGGGACCAATTTGAAAGGAAGGATTTGAACCAACGCAGGGCACTGTTTTGATTAAGAAATCGAAAAAAAAATGTGGCCTACAAAAATATTGGGTTGTTTAGCATGATATACACCCCCAATTTGTCCAAATAATGAGATTGTATTGGTAAAATGGCCCAATATTATTGTAGGCTTCTTTTTTTCTGAATGTGATCAAATTATCTCAGACATAAAAATAGTAGGTTAGGATGAAATGAAGACTTCACAAAATTTTTGGCGGATGTTAATAATTTGATACAAGGGGTCTGTCTGTACAACAGGCTATTAGTTTGGGATTGCAGTCATAATGAGAAAAAAAAAAAAAAAATTTAAATTTTCTTTTCTACCGATGTTTCAGGCTTACCTCAGGAATGAAGAAAGACAAAACAACAAACAACTAATCAAATTATTACAAACATATTATATTAAGATAACGATATGTATATGTAATGTGCTAATAAATAAATTCTAATTAGTGAATAAAAATTATTCTATGTTAGATAAATTAAAATACATAAGTACTGTAATGATAACACATGAAAATTAATGGAAAATATTATAGTAAGTAATACATATTTTAAAAGATTTTAATATTCGAGGATAATGGTTTGTGTGATAAAATATGAAAACCGTTGCAAATTATATCACAATGGTTTATTATTTCCAAACAATTATACATCTGAAGTAACATAACCTTCCTAATGACAAACAAAAAGAAATAAAAGGTGATTCCAATTATTACACTAAACATTTTTTTTTAATCATTAGTAATTTGCTAAAAAAATTAGTATTAAATAAGTAACACATTCAAAAATCAAAAACAAAAACAAAGGATATAACCTTTACAATAGAACATTTTAAAAACATCTAGAGACCATATCTTAGCTCCTAATTGTCAGATTTTAACGATTTTTTTTGTGTGTGTTTTAAAGAAAATTCCGTACACTTTTGAATAACCATATACAATATTTACTAAAAAGTGTATACTTTTTAAGTTAATCTAATTTTACCATCCCTTGTAATTTTTTTTCCAGCTTGTTTTCGTTGAAGTATGTTATATAGATAAATTTAAAGGGCACCGAGAAGAAGATTTTAAGTTTTTGAATTTTTTGTTCAATCACAATGGTTCATTATTGAAAATAATAAACCAAAAATTCAATAAAATAGACTACTATATGTAAGTAATGGTATTGGTACAGGTGGGGGAACTAGACTGACAAGTGGGCCACATGGTCCTTTTTGCCAGTCTTTGATGGCTACTTTGAGGTTGCCACCACGTTCTCACCAGAATGGAAATGTCAAGATTCATTTTCCCTGGGCTGCCGAGAAATAAATATTAACCGACGCTGGTGAAAATGAACACACAACGCTCAGACCCGGGCACTCTGGGACACACGCCCCAATATGCTTGGCCATCCCATCCTCATATGTAAGTAGTAATTTAAAAAAAAAATTAAGTTCTCTTTCGGAGATGAAAATAGTATTTTGGACTCAGTATGTTCATATAGGATACCGTGCACTATGGAAGTTTTCAATTACTACCCAGTTGAGGTCATTATTCTTTAAGGCATTGTCTTGAGTTCATCCTTTAACATTCTCTTTACCGCTGATAATCCTGGTTAACCCTATATCTCTCTGGCGAAATTTGCTGATGACACTGCTTTCCTTTGATCAAACTCAATTCCTGAAATAGCATCCTCAGCTGAATCAATGTCTTATGAAATAAATATTAAAATCCTATCTGTAAAAGTATTATTGTTCGTGTAATTACATTTAATAGAACTTCAAGAATTAATTAAACACCATTTCGTACAACTAATTAGTTAGTTTCTTTATTTTTCTACCAAAGTAGTAATCATTATATGTATTCTTTTTCAGAACCTTTACAACCAAAAAACCTTCTTACCATCTTGATTTCTTTACTCCTTGTTCCTCTGTTTATTCGTTCAGCACGAGATCCCAATCCTCAAATTTGTTTATTCCTTCTCATAGAACTATTTCCTTTAAAAAATCCTTTGTCATACGTGCTGCCTCGTTTTGGAATTGTTGTTGTTTGTTTCGATGTCTAGGCGCAAAACATCCAGGTCATAAGCGCCCGATCAACTAAATAACATCACTTAATACTATTTGGATGGTTGGTACAAAAAATAAAAATAAAAAAAAGGACAAAAAAAATAAAGAAATGGATTGATAGAATAAAATAAATAAATAAGGATAATAATAGACATTTATAGGTAATAAGATGTATAAAAAATGTATAAATAAATAAACTTTAAAAAATAGCAGTAGAATCAATAAAAAAAAAAAAAAAAAAAAAAAAAAAAAAA